TTCTCACTCTGGGGTATTATTAAACATGCCATGTTTTTGACCAGTGAGCCTGCACGCTCTCCTTCATACTCTACCTCTACTCAGGAAAAACACCAACCTAGTGAGATTGTTCCGCCGGTCCCCCAGGCTCCTTCCACCAAAGGCTCGGCCGCGGCACTGGAGGCTAAACCCTCATGCCCTCCCATGACTGTTTCAGTCAAGGAGGATTCCAGAGAGGAATCGGAGTCTAATAATCACCTAGACTCTGCTAATTTAAAAGATCTAAAAACAGTCGCTGCCCAATATCATAATTGGCTGGCTAGACTCTCTTTAAATAAACCTAAAAAATTTTCTAAATTCAAAAAGCGCGTAAGTGCCATTGGAATCAAGGGAGCGGCACGGCAGGCCTTACAAGCTAGTGATCCCACCTTTTGCCTTCCAATATCAATAAATAATAATGGTAATCCTAAATGGGAGGCCGTTTCTAATAAATTACTAAAAAAAAATTAGACAAGCTGTTAAAGATTTTAAGCCAACTTCCCCTTACACAAAAACTCTATTGAAAAGTCTAATGAGTCCGTGGTTAATCCCATATGATTGGCAACAACTAGCTAAGACCTGTCTGCCTAGAGGTAATTACCTCCTCTGGAAAATAAAATTTGAGAAATTAGTTAAATCTAAAATTAAAAAACCTCACAATAAATTGCTATCTGACCTTCATGCAAGGGGAAAGGGATGACCCCCCCAAAATAACAAAAAAAGATTTGTGTTCTAAAAACTTTAAAGGTATAAAAAATTCCTATTGTTTTCTACCATCCTTAAGTATATAATTAAAAATTTCAAAAAAGGAGATTACTCTAAAGGTATCAATGTCAAAATAATCCCAGAAATTGTCTCCTGTAATCCTAGTGTGTGTGTGAGTGTGCGTGTGTGTCTGTGCATGTAATATGTCATGTTACGTACTATATGTTCTATGTCTATGTAAAAACAGGCCTTAAGGTATTCTATTCAACCAGTGTTACAGGGGGGATGATTAAGATTGATTTACAGTGCTTGTCACCTATCTCCCACCACCCCTAGAAAACAATTTTTAATTTTATACAGCACTGTAGGATGACCGAATGGAGCTGGCTTGAGAGGCTTCAAGGATAATTAACAGGCACATCTGAAATGAAACCATTCCTGATATACCAAGGATATTCTTTGGCTGAGGCCAGGGATAGGCAAATTGTGGCCCCACTGCCTGTTTTGGTAAATGAAGTTTTATTGGGAGTACTATGGTTCAGATAATGGTTGCTCCCCCTAAGCTTCTTGTTTTGGAATTTGGTTCCCAATGTAATGGTTGGGAAATGGACAGACTTTTAGGAGATAGGGCCATGGATCATGGCATATTCACCGTCATAAATGGATTGATGCTGTCTCACGAATCAGAGTGAGTTCTAGATCTTGTGAGAAGCAGTGAGTAACCACAAGAGTGGGCTACCACAAAAGGAGGATGGTTGCCCCTAGGTCTCTCTTTCTGCCCGGGCCTGCCACCTTCTCTGCTTCTATTAGCTATGTTGTGACATAGCCAACCTGATGCCAGCCTTGGGCCTTCAGACTTTTCAGGCACCAGAATCATAAACCAAATAAACCTCTATTCTTCCTAAATCACCCAGCCTCAAGCATTAAGTGAGTAACACAAGAGCAGACTAGGAAAAGAATATATCCACCCAGGTTCCATACATCTACCGTCTTTCACACTGCAGAACTGAGTAGTTGCAAGAGAATGTGTGGCTTTAAAGCTGAAAATACTCTCTGGCTCTTTACAGAAATGTTTGCCACCATCAGGCTTAGACTCATTAACTAGGGTGCAAGGTCAGCAAGTAGCTAGCTACACTATCCATTGAGGCACCTAACACTTTCCCTTTCTAATGTGCTTCACTTACATATTATGATTTTGAATGTCTGCCTCCCTTGCTAGTTCTAGGTTCCCTGAGGGCAGTGAGTAGTGTTTTTTTGTTTTGTTTTGTTTTGTTTTAAATTCATTGTTGGTGCTGTATCCTTAGCACCTAACTCAGGGCCTGGTACATTATAAACACTGCATAAATATCTGATGGCTGAATAATCGAAATGGATGTACTCCTTAAATTAATCTTCCATCTAAGAACAAAAGCAATGATTTCTTTCAGGATATTCTGGACGAGAAAGTTAACAACATTTCACAAATAGCATGACAAGAAAGTGACCTGCATTCCACAATAAGAAGGGCACAAGTATACTAACATTAACATTTCCCATCTCTTAGGAGGAAGATGTGCACACAGATACCTTCTCTGAGGGGTGGCAGAAATAAGCTCATATTCTCAGAAGGGGCAGAGGCAGAGTATGTCTCTGGGAGCCATGAAAATGGGCTCAGGGCTTCCTTAGTGAGACACTCACACTGGGGCTCACCAACCCTGGTCTAAGCTGCCCTCCCAGTTTATCCCCATAACGTGTGAGGTCACTCACCCACGAAGTTCAGCCTTCACCTGTGATCAAGGAAATACTAATAACTTTTTAAAGGTGAGAAAACATAAGAAGGGAAGGGAGATAAAGCCTACTGAAGTTTCTATGCCACAGTTTCTCTTTAGGTCCTCTGTCGAATGAAAATTTGACAGAGTTCACAAGGATAATAGTAACTTAGAGAAACAGAACTTGATATACCCAAATACTTATTCAAGGCACCTAGAACTCATTTTACATACAGATGATAATTTATTCTCATCATCCACATTCAAATTTTTAATCCAAATTGCTGAGAAGATACCAAATACTGGCATGCAGTAATGAAAATTACAATAATAGGATCTGCATTTCATTATAATCTGCTAATTAATATAGCAGCACACAATAAGGACAGATGAGCAAAAGTGGGATTCTAACCAAGTTGGGGCCTGTGTTAAAACAACCAAAAATGCCTCAAAGACCAGGGAAAGAAAAATGTCAAACATTATATTAAAATATCTCCCCTAGACACAGTTTACTTTAAAAATGCTGGCAGGGCAGCTAGTTTTGTGCCAGTATTTTTTTCCTCTTTTTACACTTATGGTAATTCCAAACTAATCCAGCCTTAGGAAAGCCTCACCATCAAGGAGGGAAGAATGGGAAACGAAGATCTCTTCTTTTGTCGGCATGCAAATTAGAGAGTATTTTGAACACAGTCTTCCCACATAAAATTTATTTTAAATAAATTTGTATGCTTTTTCTCTTGTTAATTTGCCTTTTTTTTTTTAATAGGAGCCAGTATTACTTTTGAAAGATGCAGGGTGGCTGTTATCTATTAAGTCAAATAAGAATTGTTTCGTTTCAAATTCACAGACCTTTGTTATCATGTCTGTCCATTTTTCTCAGTATCTAACAGAACTTTTCTTTCATAGAAGTTTGACCATAAAGATCTTAAAACACTGATTTGGAATATAATAATACTGTCATTAGACCAATTACTTCAGGAATTTTCTTTTTATAATGATATAGTTAATAAGAAACGTAGATGTTTAAGTTAATAACTTACTATGTCTAATTGCTGGAAACTTTGTCCATCCATGTACAAGGAAAACTACATTTGTTTTTACTTCATAACAATGGGCTTCAAGACATACTACCCTCACATACGGCACCGTGGCATTTGGAGAAACAGCAGAAGCAGGAAGGTCCTTCTCACCTGGCCCCTGCCCTTCTCTCATGAAATACGGTCAAAAGATTTTCTTTCAAGAGTTACCTTCCCCCTCTACCCAGTGGAAAGGAACATTCTTACATTCTTACCTCTTAAGACACTGGGACACAGAAAAATCTGGACAAGGAGGCCTTGCTAAGTTCTTCCAGTTTATTACCATTAGATCATGCCCCCTTGGTCCAGTTATACTTCTTGATCATCCATTTCTTCGTTAAACTTAGCATAAAAAGTACACAGGTTTATTCAGCTCTTCATTTTCTTATGAAAACTCCTATGTCATATAAAACTTACTTAAAATTAATTGATACGATTTTCTCTTGTTAATTTGCCTTTTGTTACAGGGGCGTTAGCTATGAAGCTATGTCTGAGTAAAAGGCACTTATTTTTCTGTACAACCATAAATGTTTTATAGGTCCATATTCTTTGATGTATAGCACCAATTCTAGACAAAGACCCTAAGAAAAGAATTCAGTAAAGAAAACACATTCATTAAACTACTCAGCACAATGCGTTTTAAAACAACAGAAATTGAAATGAACTAAACGCCCAGCTAGAAAGAACTAAGGTTAAGTAAATGTGGGCTTATCAATACTTATCTAATACTCCACAAAAGTTCTTATAGATTGCGGAGTAGGTAGACTATATAGCTATAAGTGAAAAATATCTGAAAAGTTTGCATTCCTACACAGAAATACAAATTTATGAGGAGCCCTTAAGTAATGTGTCAGCTCTTACCTAGGCCATCACATATCTCAGACTGGCACCTTGCTGTGTCACTGCTGGTACCTCTGTGGTCACCCAGGGGGTTTTCTGCACTTCTCCCTGTGCCTCTGCTGCACTGTTGCAAGGTGCTCTGTCTACTCTTGATGATCTACTTCGTTCAAGGCCCAGCTCCGTTTCCATCTTTCCCACAAAGTGGTCTACTGCCACGGAGTGAAATTACTTTGAATTCCTTGGTTCTTATTGTCACTTCCTTGATTGTTTTGTTTGCCCATGTTCTCAGATAGACCGGAATTTGCAGAGTTGTTTGTAGCACATGCAATGGGTAATAAATATATGACTTTGAATGGATTAATCAATGAATATAAACTCTTGAGAGCAGGAGCCATTTCTTATCTTTCTATCTACAATATTCATCACAGTGCTAAGATAGCAGACTATCAACTCTTTATAAACAAATAGATAAATGTACATTGTCACACATGACTGCTGGATGCAAAACTAGAATGTCTTCCTTATCCACCTTTTTTTTTCCACTTTCTGCTTCTATGAAACATTAAACAAGGTTCTTTTCCTAAAAGGAGTATGATCCATGAAGAGAGCTTACCCAGGTCAAACTGGCCAGAAATGTAGCCACAAGTCTGCCGGACTTCCTCACTGTCCCAGCCCAAGGGATAGAGGGCACAGCCAGCACCAATCAACAATCCTGCAAAGAGATAAGATGAGAGGGCTTTACCAGAGCTCCTCAGCACCCATCCTTAGATAAAAGGGGGGAGGATCAATATTTAACAATATATCAAGACCATGGTATGAGCTTTTGGGAAAGCACCAGCCATAATTCCCTTAAACAATCTAAGGTCAATTCAATTCCAAGAACAATTACAAGTATGCTTAAAGAAAGAAAAAAAAAAGTTTGACATCTCAGTTTGGTTCCAACTTTGCCTTTTAAAGCATTAAAGGCCTTAAAAATTCTGTTTATGAAATACAATCCAGAAGCCCCTTAATCACTCTTATAAAAAGCCAACCAATTCTACCATTAATCCATGCAAACATGTAATTCGAGAGCAAGCGAAAGTTACCAATAGGTTATGCTTCATCATTCATTAGATATTTTGTTTCCAATTTAAAAATCAAAATAGGACGTTTCAGAGTTGTCAGATTTTACCAGGCATAGAAAGAACACAAAGATTTTCATGAATCATTTCAACATGCTGATTGAATTTGTGAACTGTACTGCCTGTTATTATGTTCCGTTGAAAATTACTGAGCATCCATACGTCCCAGAATATTCTAGAAGACATACTCTTATTGTAATCTAAAGTCTCCATTCATCAACCAAAGGTTCGATGATTAAACTGAAGAAAGTGATGCTTTTACTTTAATATAAATTGTCAGGTTGGCACACTCTGAGCTGACAATTCTCAACTGGCCAGTTTTTGCTCCAAAGCCTCATGGCATTATAAGAAGCTGAATGAGGGACTGGCAGGTGGTGTGGTGGATGGGGACTCTGGATTCCCACATGGCCAACCATGGTTCGAGTCCCGGACCTGGTGGCTTGCTTTCTCTCTTTCCCCTTCTCTCTGCCTCTGTCTCGTCAAATTTAAAAAATAACAAATGGAATTAAATAAATAAATATTTAAAAAAAAGAAGTTGAATGAGATTTATACACCCACCATTTGAATCTGTGGGCTATTTTAAAAGTAAGATGGTGTCACAGCAATCAACAAATATTATCATCACACATTAATACCACTGATGTGCTGAGTAGCAGGTCCAATGCATACATAGTCTGATGGATGAGACTGTGGGTTATCAGATGCTAAGAGAGGGAGCTCCCTAAATGAGAAAAACATTATATGGTAGTGTGGAGGAGGGACAGCAGCTCCTCAAATGCACCTAGAAGAAGAGACCCTCAATATTTCTACCTTAAGGCCCTACCTGTCCCCCTTTTGTCTCCCCTTCCCCTTTCAGTTCCCAGGAGGACAACTATGAGGAATTGTAACCCATATGAATAATCTATTTCTTCACAGGTGCAATGTGGAATAGCTTTCCTCATTCCCAAACATAAGGCTAAGCTATAGAGCTATGAGGAGAGACATCTCTCACAAGCTGATACACACTTCCTACCCTGGCACTCCTACCCCAGGTCTGACTTTTTGTCTATAAGAAAGGGACCATTTAATGCAGGGAAGCCTCCATCCAGGGTAGGGGCCTGGAATCACTGGGACTGCAAGTCACTAATCCCAGGATGTCCCATATTCTATTGTATAAATACGAATTGTGTTAAGGCTAAAGAATAATCCAAAGGTTTTGCTGACTAGGCAAATGTTCCCAGTGGCCACTTTCCTTAGGCTCTTCTTCTTGAGATGGAATTAATATAATTCTAAAGACAAATCCAAACTAGTTTTATCCCTCTCTAGGTAAAGAAATAATTAACCACAAGGCCAAACTTGATATAAATTGAATTCCTTGAATGTTTCATAAACAACTTGGTATGATTTCCATGATACACATTTTAAAATGAAATAGGTAATACCACTTTTTGAGGTCCAGTGAACATGTCTTTTTAAGGATGATAAATGCAGAAAGCCATGTGGATAGAAATTGTCCAAGTGTAAGAAAAGTGAAAAACAGTAACATTTAAGCCATCAGTAGTTTTCTTCTTTATCTGACATGGAAACGAATGATAAATAGTCTTATTTGCTAATGTTGTTTTAGTACAGTTGGAAAATATGTGTCATGAAGTCACAAAAATGCCTGTATTCAGTATCATACTCCCCACTTGGGGACACTGAATAGGAAGGAGACAAGACGCATGTGCATATGGGCAAGCAGGCCAGTGCCTCCCTAAGAAGCAGAACACTCAGTAGTCAAGGTTCCTTTACAGAATAGTGCGCTATCTTTGCAACACTGGAACATGTATTAAATAGATTCAATGATATAAATTAGGAACAATTTTGTACACAGGAAAATTGTATCATATGCATGAATTTTAAAAACATATCATGAACATATATTCACATTTTTAAAAGCTCTTGGAGCTAACTGTGGTGTAGTAATAATGCCATGCTCTGTGAGGCTGACATATAGAGGAGAGTTCCCAGTTCATGTCCACAAACCTCCCTGAACACTCTCTGTGCATGCATGCCATTATCTGGAGCTGGCTAAGCCTGGTGTTGGATCACAGCATGGGAATCCTGTTGATAATGGCTCTCTCCCACATGGAAGGAAGAAAGAAGAAAACTTTAAAAAAAAACAGTTAGATTTTAAAAACTTGAAGGTTATCTAGTGGAAAACAACTAGCTTACCTGAATTTTTGCATTAATCTTTATGTAGTCTCATTTGTTTTGTCATTTGCTCATGTTTGCCATCAGGAAAGACCACGGATTCCAAAGACATGAAAAAACACTCGTGGGAGAAAAGTGTATGTTGCAAATGGATTGGGCTAATGACTATCACATTTAGGACATGTAGCTAAACACCAATGGCCTCCCCACTATCTTGCCACCCTCTATGCCACGGTGAAAGGAAGCCTCAAATCAAATGTGGGCACATAGGCAGCAGATATTTATTAGGCAGCTGGCACCAAAAGCAGTCAGAAGGCCAAATTCTGTAAGCTTGGTGAAACCTGACTTTTCCCCCACACAATTCCATCCTGAAGTTACCCTCACAAGTACCTCACATGGAATTTCCCACACATGATAAACAACAAATATCAGATGGTAGGTTCAGAGAAACTTCAGGTCAGAAAAAGCAACAATATTTTCCATGAAACCGAAGGACCAAAGGGGCACAGAACCAAGAGAGTTCTAAAGCTGCATTTGCCCAATGCAGGGGCCACAAGGGGCATATAGTTACTGATGTTTAAGTTAATTAAAAGTAAACAAAATTTAAAAATTCAATTATTTAGTTATACTGGCCACATTCCAAGTGCTTATAGACCATTTTCATAATCACAGGAAGTTCTACAGGGGAGGACTGCCCTAGATCGAAGATAGACTGTACAAGGATGCTGGGCTTGTCTGATTCTCAGCCCCTCGGCCTGATACTGCTTGTTTACCAAAAGCATCCCTGTGCCATTCCATTCTCCATTTGTAGGTGGGGATAGAGGCCAGGAAACTAAATTCCCTAAACTCTCCTGCTAACAAGAGTTCTGGGTCATGTTTTGTCAATGAGGAGCCTTCATGTGGGCTTTAGAAGATAAATGAGAGGGATAAACCATGACTATCCAGTGGCAGCTACAGCCAGGAGAAAGCTCTTCTGCAGACAATAGACACCTTAGAGGTGTGGGAATTAACTTTTGGGCATCTCCCTCCTCACCACATGTTAAAAGCAGGTCATCAGCTCCAATCTGCACTTCCTGAGTTCCTGAATTACTTCAAAGCAGCTTCTCCACCTTTCTCTTTGCCAGACTTTATAATGGGCCCAGAAAACTTTCAAGCACTGGGCTGTATCCCTTCTGACTTGAAATATCTGGAGTTTCTTTTACTGCGTGATTGGTGCATATCCTTCTCATTATATTACTGAGGAGCTAATACAAGTCTTTATATCCTACCAGATTTCTTGAACATCATCCATTTTCTCAATTAAGAATTATCTTTAATAAAATTTAGGTTACTTATTAAGTGTCTGGGGTAAGTATAGATAGTGATAGTCGAATGATAGGTTTTTCACCTTCCCTGTGGTCTGGTCTCTGGGTGGGAATTTAACATGCTAATTAATCTCTCCAGGAGTGTGGACTTCTGAAGAGGATACTTCAAATGCTAACTACCTGCCCTTAGGGTGTGGACTGAAATTAACTAGTAATTTATTGTCTGTACTGAAGTAGAAGGGGCTACAAAAAGTTCATTAAAGTACAAGTTTATTTTGGTACAAAATATTTAGAAATCTAAGCAGTTTATTTTTCATAATACGCATTTCTATATACTTTTTTGAATACCCCATGTACTACATTGTAAAGATAATTATATATAAAAGTCAGAACATCTTTATAATGGAAGAAATTTGCCATTGTTTGATTTTTAGTAATGTTAAATCTTAGTCCTTTTACAGAAATCAATGTTTGATGGAAGTATGGTTTAGACTTTTCTGAGTTAGCTATCTCTTGGGTATTATACTGTGTG